TTTAAGTAAATAGTTCTTTAAAAGTTGTGTTTTTTTTCAGAAATTGTGGGCTAGATAATTGAGCAGCTCTATATTTTAAATTGTTAATGATATTAAATTATGTTTTAATTGTGTGATGGAAATTAAAACTTAAAAAATCCTTCAGAAAATATGGGATTATGGTACCAATCAATAAGTAATGTGTTTTCGGGTGTTCTTATAATTTCAGTATTTAAAAAGGTTATTTTGCTTTCGATTTCAATTCCTATTGTGAATTGTAATTTTTCGTGAAAAATTTTAAAAACATTTAATAGCTCTGAAAAAGGTAATAAATTTATCAAAACGTCGCGCGTCGGAAAGTTGAAAAACTAGTTTTTCTAAACATTGGACCTTTTACTCAAAAAAACCTTTCCAATTAAATATAAAATCTATTCAGTAGTAAGTACTGATTTAATTATTAACATTTTATTCCAAAATATATATAAATTTGTTTAATTTTTTTTTATTTTTTGTTACATTTTTATATTTATTATGTTTAACATATATTTTTTAAGTTTATGGTAACTTATTATAGAATTTGGCACCATTATCTGCAGGCCTTACCTTTGTCAACAGTTTTTTTAAAAGATGGTATTAACAAGTTTTGATTATATACCGGGTGACACAGGAGAAATGTAACACCCCGTAGCATGTTTATTTAAAAAGATATTATTTTGAAATTTGGTAAACTTATATAATGCGTGATTGTCCTTTTTTAAGTATAAAAAAATTTTTGTCCACCACTTCCGGTTTCACCGGAAGTGACATCTTCTCTGTTATTTTAAATGGCACCCTGTATATTTTTTTTACCTATCTGATTCGTCTCTAGATTCTCTTTTCAACCATGTATCGGAACATGGCATTTGTTTTTAAAATGATAGATAATATCAATTTTAGTTTGTTAAGTCTAGGTGGCCCTGATATAAACCTTGGCAGATATTGATGCGTAGTGTGCCGTGATATCGAAAGGCCTCTGGCATGCAACTTTGTGCCTCATATTTTTTTGGGAATAACCAGTAGCTGAACAGACTAATAAGATCTAACTTATTTAAAAAAAAATATCTTCAAACGACCCGCGATATCTTAAAAACCAAGATAGGAACCCCATTGTTTTACTTCACCTAGTTAAAAAATACTTATTTATCTTTTATTTTTGTCCAATACAATTGCTGTGCCTATCATATTTTGCTTTCTTCATTAAAATTAGTATCGAACGTTATTGCATAGTAATGAATATTGTACTGCAACAAAAATATTTAGTAAGCAGGCGGTGGAAACAAAAGAAGGTAAAACGACGCGTCATTTTGATTTGACAATTAAGAATTGTTTACTTGGCAGCAATTTAAGTATTTTTCATTAAATTATACCTAAGTTATCACGTTTTTAACTCTATTTTGCCATGTATTCACGAAATGAAAAAGTAGATATGCTACTAATCTATGGCGAATGTAAAAAAATAGCAGGCAGGCTGCTGTCTTATATGAAGAAAGGTTTCCCGAAGGAATTCATCCACCAAACAACTATTTTGTAAGAGTTGAACGGCAATTCAGAAGTGAACCAGAAGTACCGGAAAATAATTTCATTATCGATGAAGACTCGGAAATCAATGTACTTGCAATTGTCGAGGTAGATCCCACGATTTCGATAAGACAGATTGAGGACCAAACCGGTGTAAATCGGGAATCAGCTCGACGCATTTTGAAAAAACATAAATTTAAATCATACAAGTACCAAATACACCAGCATTTATACGAAAATGATTTTCAAAGAAGATTGAACTATTGCAATTGGTTTCTGAACAGACACAATTTGGATAATAATTTTCGTGAACAAATTTTATTTTCCGACGAGTCCAGGTTCACTAATTTGGGATTATTCAATCGTAACAACACCCGTTATTGGGCACAAGAAAATCCCAGAAATATGAGAGAAAGTGCATATCAGGAGCGATTTAGTTTTAATGTATGGTTAGGAGTAATTGGCAGAAAAATTATTGGGCCAATAATTTTTGTTGGTCCATTAAATGGAGAAAGATATTTGGGATTTTTGCAAAACCAGATACAAGATTTTTTGGAAGAACTGCCACCTAATGTTAACCCAATAATTTTTCAACAGGATGGGGCTCCACCACATAACAGCAGAGTTGTGGTGAATTATTTAAATGAAAGGTTTGGAGAAAACTGGATGGGAACAAATGGGCCCGTTCGATGGCCTGCAAGGTCACCAGACCTTACGCCGCTTGATTTTTTTGTATGAGGCCACCTCAAGGAAAACGTTTATAGGACTCCACCAACAAACAGAGAAGACATGGAAATGAGAGTCAGAAGAGCAATCGATGGGATTACTGAATTACAGTTAGATAACGTGCTTAGGGCTACCGTCACAAAAACACGATTGTGCAGAGATAATAACGGACAACATTTTGAACATCTGTAGTAAAAAAATGTTTTCTGTATGTAGTACTTCAGTAAATATTTTATTTTAATTTCATTCATTCGTTGTAAAAATATTTTTCATCAATTTTGTTCAAATGTGTTTTAATGATGTTTCTTATTTATTAAAAAAAATCGTTTTACCTACTTTTATTTTGTTTCCACCGCCTGCTTACTAAATATTTTTGTTACAGTACAATATTCATTACTATGCAATAACATTCGATACTAATTTTAATGAAGAAAGCAAAATATGATAGGCACAGCAATTGTATTGGACAAAAATAAAAGATAAATAAGTATTTTTTAACTAGGTGAAGTAAAAAATTGGTTTTTAAGATATCGTGGGTTGTTCAAAGATATTTTTTTTAAAATAAGTTAGATCTTATTAGTCTGTTCAGCTACTGGTTATTCCCAAAAAAAATATGAGGCACAAAGTTGCATGCCAGAGGTCTTTCGATATCACGGCACACTACGCATCAATATCTGCCAAGGTTCATATCAGGGCCACCTAGACTTAACAAACTAAAATTGATATTAACTGTCATTTTAAAAACAAATGCCATGTTCCGATACATGGTTGAAAAGAGAATCTAGAGACGAATCAGATAGTTAAAAAAAATATACAGGGTGCCATTTAAAATAACAGAGTAGATGTCACTTCCGGTGAAACCGCAAGCGGTGGACAAAAAATTTTTTGTACTTAAAAAAGGACAATCACGCATTATATAAGTGTACCAGATTTCAAAATTATATCTTTTTAAATAAACATGCTACGGGGTGTTACATGTTTCCTGTGTCATCCGGTATATCCAGTGTAATATGGAAGGACGTGTTCTATTTGATGGGTTAAATTTATATAGTATAGTAAACGAAGATCTAATATTTAAATATTTAGTTCTGAGTACAAGGCACTTATCGAATACAATCTCTTCTTATGGAATATTATCTTGAGTGTAATTTGTGCTAACAGTAAATTTTGTAAAAAAAAAATTATAGCGTCCTTCCAAGAGAAAATATCGTAAGCAAATCCAACTCAACGAGAGATTTATGTTATTAAATTTTTTTTTATTTTAAAATATCTCACAATAAGTAAAATTTACATAATTTTCTAACTTTATTACTGATATAATTAACATGTTCATTTTATTTCAGATACTGATCAATTATTATTATTCCCAAGTATTTAATCTTCTGTGATTTCTTAATAGTAGGACATTGACAGTGTTGTTTAGTTCAATTTTTATTATACAGTAAAATATACTTTTTGTGGTTGATTAGTGTCTATAGTGGTAAATGTTATTAATTTAGTTCAGTCTATGTTTAAACTTATTTGACTCCGATTAAGAGAATCCCACATGACCTTCGTATTTTAAAGTAATAAAGTACAAAAATTTCAGGACAACTTATAGAAATTATTAAACATCAAGAATTTCCCTTTAAAAATCAAGACAATTTGTATATTTTCCCCAAAAATTTACAACTTTTCCATGTCTTTTAATGTTTCCAGTTTGGGTGAGAATCTTATTTAAGTAAACGCGACTTTTGAGATATTCCCACAAAACGAAATCTAATGGCGTAAGTTCCAGTGATTTGGAAATATTTCATGAATGTATAAATGTACAGGAATAGCATAATGTGTTGGTGTATTACTCTACTGAAAATAGAGGTCATACCTAAAAGTATTGAATAAATCGTTACGAGAATGCAGTTCTATTAAAAAAATACCAAAAACTCTTGTAAAAACTGTTGGTAATTTTCACCAGTTTTCTTCGTAAAAAGAATGGATCGACCACTCATAGAGTTGTCGGTCCATTTGTATTACAAAGCTCCAAAAAGAACTTAGTTGAGGCTATCCTCAACTTATCATATTATTTACACTTTAAACTTTATTATTTCTTCAATAAAAAAACAGAAAAAACTTTATTTCCTATTTCTTATTTCTAGAGGACTTCCAGCCAGGTACATGGACAATTTATCCTACGTTTCGTCCGAGTTTTCGGACTTTATCAAGGTTAAAAGCTAAAAATAATTGTTTTACATAAGTCGTAAATTAGATTAGTGACAGAATGCATATCTAATAAAGTGTTTTCTTACCTAATATAAATTTACTATTTTAATTTCATTATATGGGTGGATTTAATTTTGTTTTTCACCATATAATGAAATTAAAATAGTAAATTTATATTAGGTAAGAAAACACTTTTTTAGATATGCATTCTGTCACTAATCTAATTTACGACTTATGTAAAACCATTATTTTTAGCTTTTAACCTTGATAAAGTCCGAAAACTCGGACGAAACGTAGGATAAATTGTTCATGTACCTGGCTGGAAGTCCTCTAGAAATAAGAAATAGGAAATAAAGTTTTTCTGTTTTTTATTGAAGAAATAATTTCTACTTTAACAGCCAACAACTTGTATAAAATATCATTTAAATTTTATATACTGCTTTTTGTAAAACATTTTTGTTAATGGTAAAAGAAATTTTGATTATTAAATCCGAGTCAGAAGTGATTTAACTGCATGCTAAATATATTCCTTTCAAGTTGTTCTGCTAGCTTAGCCGGTGGAGTACCAGACTCTTAATTTTAGGAGCGTAGGTTCGGACCCCACGTTGAACGCCAAATGCTGGAAGTTGGGTGTTAAATATTGCTACGCCTATAATTCTACTATAATTGTTAGATCGCGTAGTTAAGTAGCCTTTCGCCACCTTACCAATCCTTGGTTTGATTCTCTTGAATATCTCAGGTTATGGATTCCGCAGTCCCAACTAGTAAAGCAGGTGTCTTTAACAAACAGTGTAACCTAACTAATAACTTATTCTTAAGCAGTCATAAGCAATTTAATCTTATTTTATAAATGGCCACACAGTAGTTAAAAAAAAGTACTTTTATATACGTGTGAATATTTTTGTGTAAAAATCACGATAAATCCTAACGTAACAATACATTATTATTACAATGTTATTGTTTTTTTTTTGAGGATTGACTACTTTTCTATTTAAAAATTTCGTTAGAGGTAATATAAAAAGTCTTTTATAAAAATATTCACACTTATAATTCTGATTTTGATTTACTTGTTGAAAAACTAATAAATTAATATCTGTAAAGTATTTGCTAGCATGATTTATAATTTATCATAGTTAACAATTAAAAAAAAACCAAGTCGATTAATGTGGTTTTGTCATGTAAACAAACCTTCTACAATTTTTCATTAAATGACGCAGCTCTTTTTGTTGTAGCTTGTATAATTATTATTTTGAATAAATCATATTCAAGACCCCTAACAATTTATAACAGTCTTGTATTATAGAGTACTCTATGACTCTTCGCTTAATTAAAAAACATAATCATGTGACGTCTGCTTTTATATTCGTTTTTTCTTGTAAATTGTAAAACGCTCTTAAAATAATGTTAGTATCAATAAGCATAATTTGTTATTTAATATATCTTAAGCAATGCTCCTAAATGTATGATTAATTTTTGATGACATATTAATAATATATTCGTCAACTTTAAATGAGGATTACATCAATAAACAAATTGTTAAAAAACACATATGCAGGAGTTAACCACAAGTAAACATAATAGTAGTTGATTTGAATAATATTATAATAACAATTCTAAATAAAACATTTAAAATAATCATAAAAAATTTCGTGTAATTGCCAATGTTATATTTAAGTATGTCAACTGCTATGTCCTCGTTCTTCTAAACTTTTTAAAACAGAGTGGAAATATCACTAGTGCATTCAAATTAGAGTCTGGTAATATTTACCAAAAAAAATTATTAAATCTTTACAAAAGAAGGCCTATATAGTCTAAATGCCTTATCCTTTTATCCTGTTTTAAATAGTTTAGGAAAAACAGGGTGGAGGTAGTTCACGGTAGGATAGGATTATTGGAATTGATAATATTTAATAAATTCCCCTGGGTTGGCGACTGTGGTGAAATTTCACTGAAATCTAAATTTAGCGACATGTAATTATGTTGCGAAATTTTGGTTTCAAGAAATTTTCAAAGCTGGTAACACTGACACAATGTGGTTGAAATACTAATCAGACCTAAGTGAGAGATGAATTTGGTGAAAAAAAAAACCCTGTAAGAACGTATTTTGTTCTATTTTTGAGATATCGTGCCCGCTCACAATGTTGATCATAATCGACTAACATTCTTGGATATGATGATGGTCTGCGACGATAGGGATTGAACAGAAGTATTGACTAATACATCACTGTAGACCTATACCAAGCCTTGTGGTCCTACTCTCTCGTCCACCCGATCCGCAAATACTGTAGATATTTTAGACAGACTACTCCTGCTTCTGGCTGATGGGCCCTGTCTGGGTCTCCTCAGTTTTCGTGTTTTTTCTTCGCCATAATGTCTTACCCGCAGGATGTTATCTGCCATGGGCATAATTGCCACACTTAGTCTTGGGGTTTAGATATTAGGATTTGACTACTGGTTTGTAGAGCGACAACTACCGTCATTTTCCTCGGCGCGTCGGAAAGGATGAACTGTTCAACTCGAAAAGGTGCGCGGAACACGGTGAGTTTTTTGCATTTGGAACGGCCCATCGGGGCAGGAAATGCAGAGGCAGGCCTAGGTGGCTATCGGCCTCCCAGGGAGTGAAAATCGAATTGTCTTCTTTCGAGGTTTTTGCAACGTCGGTCGTGCCTGAAACAGCGAATAAATTATATTGATTTGTTGTCCAGGATCTGCAACTTTGGTCTCTTATGCTTCTGATAGTCTAGGGGATCGTAGTCCATTGCCTGTCTGATTAGTAGATCCCGTGTTTCATTAAAAGTACGAAAAACATCTTTGCACGATTCTGGATTACCTGCGAGATGGGCATGTAATCCAAATCCCTGAAGATGTCGACGTTTCTCACAAATCATGGATTATCCATTCACATTCCATGTGAATATGATTTTTAATTCTGTATTTAAAATTTTTTGTGCCTAAAAATATGTCAAAATGGACTACCCTGTATATTGTTTAATATGAAAGAATGGATCAAACTAAATACATTTTTAAATTTTCAGATCAGTACCTTTCAAATTTGAAAACTGTTTATTTTTGATCTTAATAACTCCGCATCTTGTGCGACAAAAATCTCAAACTCTCAAATCATATGTAGTGTAATCTACTTTTTTTATAGTACGTGAAAATATACAGGGTATCAACTGTTATTTTATAGGTTGTGAAAATTATATGAAATACTAATAATGGTAATAATATTATGTTGCGATGGAGTTTTGAGTAGAGCACCAAATTCTTGTAGTTTTATTTTTAACAAGGATCAGAAATGATTATTCTAATTCACTACTGGTGGTGAAAAGGGGCATAAGTGTATTTTTGTGAATTTCGTATTTAAATGTTTAAATGCGTACTTAATGCCGCATTACAAAATGAGGTATAAGTTAATTTCAATGCTTAATATTTAAAACTTGTGATTAAGGATACATTTAACAAAAATCGCTATTGTGCCTTGAAATAAAGTTATGTTAGAAGTTAAATGCTTCATATTTCTTGTACTTGTAGCCTTTTCTCCTGGAAGTAGTGAATTTATCTTCTATTTTAGCAAAGAAAATAAATTACCAAATTTCCAGAACTTCACAAAATCTTTTTAAAATAGGTAGTCGTGTGTTTTTATTACATTCTATTACACATAAATAGGTTATTTTTGCAGAAATAATTGTGCTATAATAAGCTGAGCTTTCAAATTTGTGGAGTTTTACGCGGAACATCCTGTATATATTTCACAAAAATATAGATTTTACAAGTCACTTACTGTCAATAAAAAAGTTATTAATTTTTTAAAATAGGTTATTATTCATATCAGAATTTTTTTTTGTAATTGATTCAAATCGTTAAGAGATAAGCTAGTTATTAAATTTCCATCAGATTTTTGATTGGATTCAATATTAAAAATAATTAAAATGCCAATAACATGCGTGTATGCTAATATTCTGATGTTTGTTCTGTTACCTAAATACATATTAACAAACTTTATGCTCTGCACGTTTCAGGTCATAAAACAATTTAAAATTTTTATGAATTCGTTTCGTGTATAAAATTCTTTAGTTAGACGTTACTTTGATGCGTTGTTATATAATTTTTATTATTGAGGTTTACGGAGTACAGAGTTGCGGTTCCGCCATAAAATTTAATTATTATTACAGGCATTTCAGAAAACTATTTATTACTTTGAAATGTAATATGGAATTTCGTTTTGTTGAACGTTTCGCTATAGGCAATCATACAAACCGAGATAATAAAAGACCCTCGAGGTTCGTATTATTAAATAAGTAATGACTGCTATTTCGCACTTCGGATAGCTTATAAAAGTAGTTTGAATATAAATCAGTAAGAAAAGGGGCCGGTGCCGCCGTCTGCTGTGCCATTAAGACTTATACAATGGCCCCAACTTTGAATTTACTAATATGCCTCCTGCTGTGCTGAGTTTGGGTCAATTCATTATACTTCTACTGCAGTTAACCGATCATTAAGTAGTTGAAGGCTGATGAGGCAATTATTTATTTAGTAAATAAATATATAATTTACAGGTTCTAAATTATGTGTAGGTTAAATAATTAAAAAAGTATTCTTGTTAGCCTCCACTACGGTAAAGGATAATAACATTTTATGTTACAAGTTTATAGAGGTATAAAATATTTTTTTACACAGAACTGTAATGTAATTGTTAATAATTAATTACTCTTTGTGGTTAACGTTAACACAAGGGATAAATCTGTTTGGAAGTTTGGTGTACAAGCATTTTGTGGAATTCCTCAAAAGTTTTACATTATTATTGCAATCAAAAGCTACTTATTTCTTATAATTTATATTATAGTATTATTTATTTTACATTATCTTTGTATTATATTTTTAAATATAATTAACATGTAGTTACTTTCATGACACATATGCATTGTAGACACAAATGGGTGTCATGTATGTATGTATAAAGTATTTCCAAAGTCAATTGAAACACTATAAAATCGCCGACAAAGGATTTTATCCATTAAATGAATAAATCCCTTTGTCGGGCGTTTAAATTCCTTTGTCAGCATTTTTATAGCGCTTCAACTGACTGGATATACTATACCAAAAATCATTATTTTGCATATACTTGAATTAAAAACATTGATTCAGTGTTTTTTTATTTAATTTTGTTTTATCAAAAGACAACTAATAGTTCAGTAGTTTGCATCTTGTACTGTTGGCTAGCACTATGGACATTTCTGCAATTTAATTATTTGCAAAAAAATTAAATATACATGATATTTTCATACAGAGAATTAAGTAAGGTTGAAAAAGGTGTTATGATTCCAAACATGTTTTTTTTTTAATATTAAAAATTTTAAATTCTATTCTTAAAACTAATTAATTTCCCTTTTTCTCTTTGGATTTTCTTTATCTCGTTCAAAGATTTCTTCATTTGTATTCTTCTTTTATGAATTTCATTTGTTCAAGTAAATTGCCAAATTCAGCTGTTAGTCCTCCTTTGTTTTCTCTAAATTTGTTAGGAGTAGTTTCTTCCTTCTGACCTTCCCAGCTTCATTTCTTTAATAAAGGCCACTCTCAGAAATGGTGTATACTCATCGAGGCGTTCTTTG